TTTCGCACTATCAGAGCGTGTCACATCAGCTTGGCCAGTAGTCAGAAGCCTGACAAACCCGATCGCCTAGTCCTCTAATTCGGGAATTGGAATGCTGGTTACTCCCTATTCCTTAGAACAGACCCATGTAGCTCACTACCAAACTCCCGCTGTCTTGCGATCATTTTTTTCAACTAAGAGCTTTTGTTGAGGATCCTAATCGTTTCCTTGCTAGGCCTGCGTAATCTGACTGTATCCTGCTCACACAACACAATGACTTCACAAACATTTTCTTGTTGCTCTGGTCGTCGCAGACGATAATCAACTGCGCCCTGTTTACTGAGCATCTACAAGGTGGACAGAAGTGAGGATGCTACTGTTCAGGTCTTCCCGTCTTCCCATTCCTCTCCTTGCACTTTTTCATCCTTATCGTTCCATTCCAGACTCACTTCTATCCCCTCTGTTTACAGCCCCCAATTCTTCACCTTACTCTCTCTTGCTTCCTTGTCGATTGTCTTCTAGTTTCAACTCACGCAATCATAGGACGTCGATCCGGTCCAGTAGATAAGTCTTTCTTACCTGTTGATCGGTTCTCCGAGCCTGATAAAGTGATTGCATACGTTTCGCCACCATGCGAGGTGGCATATCGCCGCACTGATGATGCCACCTCGCATGGTGGCGAAACGTATGCAACCACTTTATCAAGCTCGGAGAACCGATCAACAGGTGAGCAACCAACCTGGGCTACCATTGTTTTAGTTATTTTGAAGACAAGTTTTTGTCCATAAAAGCGGACAATCTCGGTTTCTTTTCTTCTGTTTGGAGTCCCTGATCCGCCCTAAGGTTGACATTCATCGACTTGCGCACTGTAACAAATTGGCTAACAGGTAGCACTTACCCGAACAGCAGAGACGCTGTTAATCTATATCTGCTGTTTATCGGAAACCCGCCTATAAGGCTCGAGCGATTCACTCTACGATGATTTTCATGTGACACTGGTGGTACTTTTTCATTGCGTCTACCCGGAAACGATTCATCTTCGAATGCCCGTCAAGTCATTGTGAGCATTGCTCTGAGCCCTCGGGGTGAAGTTGCTGTGGTCGACTGGCTCCCAATCAGTAACCGGATGTGCACCGTTCGACTGGCTACCTCGTTCAAAACTTCCATTCGAGCGGGGACCAATGGTGCCTATTTATCTTTGTTGCATACGCTGTACGAACTGAATCGGTGACTCGGTGAAAGATGAGTTCTATCACAACTTGAACGAGCTTCTACGTCACCGTCGTAGTACAGATAATGCAGTGCTGGCTTGTGATCTGAACTTTCCGATTGGGAAATTTTCCACTGATGAGCTGCATCTAAGCGGCTAATACGGTGTAGACTCCCGTAATGACGGTGAACGGTTGTTACATCTGCGTGAAGATGCTCGTCTATTTCTTAGCATCTAATGCTCGCTGCAAGGTTACATGATGCCCGCCAACTTTGGCACCATCATGGATGCAAATCGTTTATATTTCGATCAAGTGTCGTTGAAGGGATCGCCTTCAGATTGTGCGCACAAGCGTGGATTCCTATTATGCTCTTGCACTGGTTGATCTGCGTGCGCACTTCGGTGGACGCCCATGACGACACTGTAAGCCATCTGACAAAGCAATGATTTCTGGATGCGTATCAAAGTGTGCTATCATCCAGGCTGAGCGCGCTCACTGAACACACCTAATTTTCACTGTTCGCTTCATTAGTAGTTATTAGTCGCAGGCATGTCATCGTGTGGTGAATTCGGTTGACAGCCTCTGCAATGGTACTCTACACAGTCCCCGTAACTTCTAGATTCTTGCCGACACATTCTGACTCGAAGCGAATGCCACAAGACTTGCATAGGTCTTAATATAAAATTGTGTGCTGTCATATAGAAACCTTGCAGCCTGGTGCTCTCATCGTGCCTTGGAGATATAAACGGCCTCTCCTGTTGAGAATCATCGGAAGTAATTGCGAAACCAAATGCGACGCGAGTGGGAAGACTGTCAGAACGCTTGGAGTGTTAAGCTTAACATTTTGAAGTTCAATTTGATCAACTAAATTTATCAGCATCCTTTTTGTTCACTGGTTGCTCTGCTCCCTGGACTGTTCCTTTGGATCCACCCTTGCGCAAAAGGCAAACCTGAAGTCGGACTGTCGAAATTGAGCAATTACCCAGGACCATTCCTTTACAAATTCGGAGGACCGGCTCCTTTTGCTGATTTGCACTATTCGTTAGTGACAGTTTTGGAACAGGAAATTACTAGAGACAAGTGAAGGGTTCGCGCTATCAAATGAGGATTTACTGACACTTTCAAATTAATCTATCAGGCCCCTGCGAACTAATCGAACTAAGTGCGTAAAAGAATACTAGAAGCCGCTGTGACAATTGCACTTCTACTGTATGACCCTGGTTGGGACTACCCTGGTCCAAACGCCTGACGACTTCTGACACGCGAGATCAATTATCGTAACCCAACGGACAGCCACAGTCAGTATTTAACTCGCTCCTGGACTAACGACTGGTAATGTCTGTCTACCCATTTTGTTTTGTATATTGTTGTAAAAGTCTGATGAGGAATTATCGAAGGCATATGTTCGCTTACACTGATCAGAAAGATTTATTGATTACTAAAGATAAGCGTCCCCCGTTTTTTCGCGTTTGAAATTGCCTCAACCGACTGGAGCTGCGGCCCTGTAGTCCGGATTTTGAAGCGTGTTCACATTTGGAATGCGACGATTATTCGGAAGATCGATCTATCCCCCATCGCCTCTAAGTTGCTTACCTCTATCGTTCTTCATAGACTGGCTGTCACCCGTGAACGTTGGAATTCCTATAGCACGGGCTGGCTTTTGTCGAAATCAAGGCATTATTAACCACATCTTTACGTTAATTGTTGGGACATCGCCACTTACGTTGGCGGCCAACTCAATAGCGTTTCTCGACTTCAAACATGCCCTCGATCCAGTGAATCGATGTACCCTTTGGGACTTTTGGTTAGGATAGGCATACCCACGAAATATGTAACTACTAAATGAGCGCTTTATGCACATAGCTCTGGCAGCGTGAACTTCGTACATCTACCTGACTTGTTGAGCTATGTTAGATGGCGCTTCCCATTTTCGCTCGTAGCCAACTGAACTAGATATTTCGACGGTTAGGATTCAGATCCACTTCGTCTCGACATTCCCTTCTTTGCAAGTGAGTAGTTAGGTCGATCACTCTCGCCCTAAAACTCGACCATGGAGGACAACCGATTATTAAACGGAATACGGCTGTAACCTCCATTCGAGTGGTGTGGGGCACAAATGTCGTCATGTATCATTGTTTGAGGGCGGGTAAACTGTAACTCGCTGGTTTTAGATCACCTGCGTCATGTCAAGTAATTTCTGGCTAATGAAGTACGAATCCAGTAAAGTTTTATCTGTTCGGTCTTCTTCACTTGCGTATCGCCTGATATGGTCGAACTGCGCGATAGTTAGCTATACTTCGCATAAGTTGGCCCTGGGTGAATCGACGTGGAAATACGCAGTGACACTTCTGCGATGGGACTGTTCACATTACCCTCTGAATTTAGCTACTGAATCAGCGGTTCAAATGATGGTTCTCAAAAAAGAATATTTCATGATGGACAGTCGGTGAACATTATCCTCCCATAAACTATTATCAGCCCCCTGCCTAGCCTTCGTTGCGTATCTCTTTTTCCCAGGTCGGTGAGCAGGAGATCGTCGCTGACTGGGACTACTGACCATTCTTGCTACGCTGTCTGAAGCGGCTCTATCCTAGGTATCCAGTTGACAGATTTTGAGTATCTGAACGTGGTGGATCTCATTAGATCCAATTTGGCCCCCTGCAAGCACTTGTGGACTAACCGGTGTAAAATTATATACCTCAACTTCTGCATCTTTACAACACTGCTAATGCTGGATCCGATCTTTTCACCAGCATTTTACGACTACTTGGAGACCACCATAAATGTTCACTCGGTTTGCAGACTTAATTTATTGTGTTGCTTCCAGTAATCATTCCTTCAAACCTGTTGTTGCTGTTATAGCGGCAGAGGACAATATTGACTTGGTTGTATAGAAGGCCATATGATCGTATTATGACCGGTTCATCATTACTCGGCAATCTGGACACTGTCTGAGCGCCGTTCCTCACAACTCCTTGACCTTGTCTGGTGGTAGTGCCATAGGGTGTTTGGTAACTGAACTTCTTACTTGTCACCCTGCTGTTTACACTGATTTGCCCATTACATAATCGACGGCCAACTGTCCCTCTGCTACCGAACTATCCACTGGCAGGGAAACCTGTGAAACAACGAATCGAAGAACTATGTTACTATAGTAAGGGTCATCGACTTCGCACCACTGATTAAAAATACTTCCGGTATGACACAGCTGATGACCTAGTGATAGTGGTGTTGCATTCAGCGTTATATCCCTGCTCACTAATGCTGCTGCTCTATGTAGTCCGGTCTCTTTCTTGTTCTGTTGCAGCATCGTGTTGTTCACCATCTTAGTTTTAGTTTTCCTTACTCACCGCGCTCCATCTGGACTTCGGTTGATGGCGTGATCAGCGTTTCATTGACTTCGTTTATTCTTCCACGTTGCGATTTTCGGCTTTGTTCCGCGTTCTTTTTTCCGTTTTGTCTTCCCGCTTCCCGACCATTCCATCACCGATTCATTTTTGTAACGTGTATGTCAGCTGGATTTTTTTCACATCCGTTGTCTATTTGGATCTCCTTACATGTTCGACAGCACTCAGACACTTTTGTAAACACTGACTTCTCTCTTCATTTGCTCAACCAGTTATCCTTACAGCACCAGCTGAAATATCTTTACGGAAGTATTTGTTGGGACAACTTAGACAAGCCTAGTTATATTCGAGTGTGGCGATAACGTAAAACTTGATAAGTTTTTCCTGGGATCTATCCTCTATCATTAATTGTCCAGACACTCATGCCAAACGCTGTTCTCTTTCTCTACGTTACACATTTTAGAATTCAGACGTTTTCTGGAAACCCCACTTGGCTATCCTCGCAGATGTGGGCACCACTGTCGCTCGGGTCGCGGAACGCTTACACGAGAGATTTCCTTGCTTGGCCGACCATAGATGTCCGTCGGAGTGGATTCGTGAATTGCAAACCCGAGAGGATCACGAGGACGAGAATATAAGGTATGCTTCTTGAATCATTGTGGTGGTTTTACACCTTCCGTCGCTGCCGATATCAGCCGCCCTGTTTTATCCTCGCTTCTAGGTTGCACCACTTATCAGCAACATGTATTAGATACCGGCATGCTAGCCCGTCTCACACATCCATAAGACGTCGTATTGTGGCTCTACGGTTTTTACATTTATTCCCCTGCTTTTTGACTGCTGAACATATGAAAACACCTTACACTGTTCGATCAAGCCCCAACTTCTTTTGGAAAAGTCGCATTTCTATGCTTCCACACTATGGCAGATGCCCTTTCACCATATTCACCCTCTTCATCCTCTGAGCCTCGAGTATAGCACTTATCCATTTCCGGACTCACTTTTCTTTTTTTATTTCTGGACTCATGAGCCTTGTTTGTTTCTCGGTTTCGCAGCCAACGCTGTCACTCATCTTACTAAGCGCGCATTTTCAATCTGCACACTACTGCTCCCTGTCACTGTGATCTAAACAGGAGAGTGCATGGGATCCGTGCCATATAAATAAAGATGAGGCAATGAGGAAATATCATGAAAATATACCTTTATGAACATTAACACAAAATAGAATTTTGAGAACCGTTCTCAAAGAATAAGCCAATCACAGAGGCACTATTGGCTTTGCATCTGTAACTCAGCGGTACAATTGCTCTGATCCATACATTACAAAATAACATAGTTCACTCTGGTGTATAGTATATCTGATCGATAGACTTATGTCTGATTAAAGCCTTGATAATCGCGCACTGCAATTCCCTCGACAGTGTGATCAACGGTGGTGATATCACCTATCGTTCAACTCTAGTGGTCTCAGATTAGACAAATGTGTAATCTTCCTCGGCTGTTGTCTCAGCAACAGAGCTTCCTTTGCTCACGCTTCGGACGAATTGAATGACGCTGGGTGTGGTGGTGAGGCCACACTGAGCATGCCACTTGTCTATCGAAAGTCGGGCTTAACGATTTGGTGCCAAAAGTCCGAAAGCTGGTCGATCGCTACAAGAGACGAACTGGAGGATAGTACGCAATCGAGTTCGGTCGACATGAACGAAGCTCGTACGCCTTCCGAGAATGCAACAGGAAGGGTATGTGTTCTATATTTGTGAGTGGTTCTGATTGACTCGAGATATAGAATGAACTTATATTCTATGAGTGATAGGTTTCTGATAGGAGTCCAGACTTGACTTTTTACTTCACGGTGGGTTACTTGACACTGGGTTGTTCTCGGTTGTGCAATTCTTAGACAACTCCAACCACCGGTGTGACGCATGTTCGGACTCCCTAAGACCGACAACCCAATGGGATCATCCTTATCTACTTAGATGAGCAACTGGCTACCATAGTTTTCTTCACGATTATTCCTAATGAATATCTGGCCTGTTCCCCTTGTCCGTCATTAAGCGTTGCAATTCCCACCGGAATTGGTTTCGTTGCTTGCTGGTAGCGAATCGTCGAAGTTGAGCGATTTACTGGGGTCGAGAGAGTGCGAGCGCGAGCCAATATTTCATCCGACTCGGCGTAAGCGCCCACAGATCTATCAGTATTCTGCTTTGCTCTATTTGTAGCTGATCGTGATGGGCTCAGTCTAACTTGGCGGAACTTCGTCCTGGCTGACATCTTACTATTGTATGTGTCGGATGACGATGCAAGTAATTTAAAGATTACAGAACTGGATGTTAACACGGGTCATTCACAGTCGGTTTCCATGTCAGGGTTTGGAATCAAACAACCAACGCACTTGTACATTCATGTCACGATGGAGGTGTTCATGTTTTTGACCATACGGATGTTGGAGTTCGTCTTCGACAACTTTGGGACTGCGGTTTGGGTGTGGTGGGGACTACATTTCCACTTTTTTATAGTGCGTTATTTTCTCTCTTAAATATCTACTTTTTGCAGCGGGCTTCTCTCAGAGTTTATCATCGTGTTGTTAGACATAATGCAATGCAGATGCTGCATAATATAAAACGAGGCTTAATACTAAATGGGAATCATTTTGTAGCACTCGTCGTGTGAATTGATTACGCCATGCAATCGCAGTTAGATTGTAAGCCATTACAGTTCGTCACTGTCCCCCATGGCTTGTTGGCGTAAACCGTTGGCTAGTGACGCTAGTCGCTAGTGGTTATGTGTTCGGATCCTGACGGAGGGGATGGATGCGCACTGCTGACCAGTCCCGCGAGGACGAAACAACCGTCTAGGGCCTTTACAGGTATTTGAAGGACTAGTGGACCTGAAGATGCTGCGAGGCACCTTCAATTATTTGCATCAATAATCCCACCATTTCCTAATACATAAGCTTAGTTTTGCTCCACTTTTTACCGTTGTTTTTTATTTGTTCTTCTTTTTTAACGCTTTCGAATCAGGTTTCTCATTTCTATCTAACATGCAGAATGATGGCGATCTCTCATAGTGTTTAGGATCACCTCGTAGAAGTACATTTCCATCAGAACAGCATTCTGCCCACTCAAGTCAATGGGTGTCATGTCCGCAATCTGGCTCACTGCTGTTCATCTTAGACCCCCTACCCGCTTCTCTGATGTGACTGAGGCCGATCGGTCACGGAGACCAACCAACTGCGCCAATGCTATTACCGTAACATGACATTTTTGAACGTCTTGTCTTCAATAGCAGTGCGTCCGATAGGCGGATGCTATTTCCCTTCCAAAAGTTGTTTTGCCTCCCTGATACGGTTATTAATGATCATACAGAGAACGACTGCTCACTTGTTACTAAGATGCTTTCTAAGTGGACCGATGATCTGGATTCTTCATTTCTATCTACTCGGGCAGCACATTGACTATAACAAGTCGCTCACGCGGGTCCCGGACTCGTCGTCCACCCATTCGTCTGCTTGCGCCTTCACTTATCTGGCTTGACTTATTACAAGCTAATCTTCTGTTTAATATTTAACATGGCCCAAGCTTCGCGCGTTTTCGCTGACGCCTTGATCGGAACCGAGCCTACTCAAGTATGTAATCGGACGACGCTTCTGAGAACTCCGATTGAGGACAACCACATGGCTACGAACTGGTGACGAATCAGCGACATACCAGTTCACCATGCGGGGGAGTGGGTCGGCATCAAGTGAAGCCAATGTGTGTAAGCAGATTTGCAAATCTGAGGTCAACAAGTCACCAGCATTTTGCATGTACTTTTATGTCTGGACTTTCAAGCGACCGTAGGAGAATGGGATGATCACGAACGAGCAGAACCGAATATGGAAACGGTGCTATGGTTGGCAGTGATGGGGCGGATCCTGATTAGACCTACCAAAAGACGTTTAGGGAAACGCGATCACTCCGAATTAGATGAACGTGCTGAGCCAGTAGATTCCTACCAATTGGTGGTACACAACAAGGTAACTGAGCGAGTGAAATGCTAGTGGCACCGCTTGCTGTAACCGGCCACAGTGCACAACGAGTGTTCAGGATCACGCACGATACGTCTTGCATATCGAACACGAAGCGTAACCTGGAAATCCATCGGATTTCGAACACTGATCATTCGGCAGTGTCTAAAACCTCTTCTCTGACTATTAACACCCAGTTTTTGTTGGGATTAATGGCGGAGTATATAGCTGTGCAATTCCAAAACCTGTTCATCTAGTGGTACCTGCGTTTCCTTTTCCATCTCCTCGCCGGATCCATCGGCAGTGTGATCACACTTAATCAACTGTCTTCGCTGCTTTGAATCCCAGACTGCCTGCGTCTGCATAATGCATGTGTCTGCCAAAATAACCACGCGTATTTTCCCGAAGTCGCAGTACTGTCCTGCTTCTGTACATATAATTCTGCTGGATTCTGGAAGAAATCTTTGAGTTCGGTTAATGCATCTTTAACAACACCACTGCATCTATCAGATACTCATTCACATATACGTCCTTCTGTTTGAATTCATTTACTGACTATGCGACTATAGCTCTCAGTTTATCACACTGAAACGCTAGAGTGCGCTCCTCGGTCTTCTGTGTCTTCGGTTCTCGCATTTGTTCCCCCCTCGACGTCGATGTTGGATGCGTCGTTGTTAAATTTTCATTGGGTCCCCCGTTAGTGACTGTCCACTTGATCATGTTGCTTGTAAAACCCCTCCTTTTCCTTCGAACGTTTCCACTGTTATTGTGTCCTATTTTATCCATTTTTTGCGGCTATGTTTTTTTCTATTTCTCAAAGTCCGTTTTTCCAAATTTCCTTTAACGCTATATTTATTTATTGTGGTTTAGAATGTTACATGTCTCAACGCTACCCTCGAATAGTTTTCATGAGATGGTTTCCGTTATTTCTCTGTTTCGTTTTCAAACGTCTACAAGCGCTGCATTTTTAGACAGCGTGTTATGTGCTTTGCTTGCTCACCAGTATGTCTTGCTTGTACACCAATCGATAGGTTTATGCTAGGCTAGAAGAGCTAGACTACAAATCTAACATGCTTGTATTATCGGCGAGTTCCATATGGACTTGTAGACTATTTTCCAACCTACACCGTGCTTCTATGACAACCAGCTGCTTCTTTCTTCTGTTTCACTTTGAGACGAAGCACCTTGGCCCAACCTTCGGAGCGCATCAATCCACTCACTCTTCTCTGGAATTTGGAACACCATGGTCTCACTGAGTCATCTGATGAGGATGCCATTATTGTCGCAGACGGAGGGGACTTTGTTGGTTCGGCCGCCTACATTCTCCGGCCTCGTGGACCCCTTTCTTGGCTGGATCCTGGGCCATTCGGCACCTTGGGTGTCGGTGGCGGATTTGCCCTCGGTGCAAAATTGTGTCGTCCCAACGTACGAACTGATTCCATCTTTTCCTATACTTGTTGCTGTTTTATTTCTCGCGGTACTGTTATCAGCGGACACTGGTTGAGCAGAGAAGAAATTGCGTTAATGGGGTTTGAAGAATGAGCGATTAGCAAAGTTTGCACGGAGGAGCGCTTACTAAATTAATTGGGTCTTACTTTCTCTTCTCCTTGTTAACTGGTACTCCATTTACGTGCTGGATCTTTTACAACGAACGGAGTATTAGTACCTCATCCGACTGGGTGTGTATTATTTTACAATTAGTTAAAGTCTGGACACTTTTTGTTGTCGGTGGAATGTGAATGTGAGGAAGTTGGTTTGCTTGTATATGCGACCCATTCTTGTTTTGTTGCCCACACTTGTTACTCCAAGCATCTATCGTTGAGCACCTCCACGTGGATGGCGTGAATGACTACGTGTTCATGTGAGGCTGACGATGATGATGCAATGCGGCTTCATGAATACTGCGAATATAATGCGAGACGATAAAAATCTGCGTTGCTCCATCGTAGGTGCATCGGGCACATGTGCGGAATCACGTCGCTGATTACTGCGCGCTGGCAGCATATTGCAGCTGCACTACGTCTTATCCGGGTGCGATACGTTCCCTATACATGTAGTCCGCAAAGTGGGCGTCAAGGGATCTCTTAAATTCCGACACTGATTTCGCCTTGACCAGCGTCTCCGGCAATTTTTTCCAGTATTTCACTACTCGACGCTCGAAGCATAGAGAGTGCGCGATGTGCTTTAAATCCGGTATCACTAGTTTGTACCTTTGTCCGCGGGTGCTGCTTGGTGCGCGAACGTGCAGCAGCGGCTTCAACATAAGGAAGTGGCCCAGGTGCATTATCCGGTGCATCATAATGAGATCAGCTTGAAGCCGACGATATGACAGGGTATAAAGCCCTAGTCTCCTACATCGGTCCTCGTACGAAATGTCCCGTAAACTGGAGATGAGCCGGGTAGCTACATGCTGGGCTCGTTCCAATCTCTGCACCTCACCTATTGTGATCGTGCAGTAGGTATGTGAGCCGTACTCAAGCACCAGTCTTATTATGGAAGAGAACAGACGGGTGGCGATCTCTTCAGACCAAGTGCAGAAGCTGCGTATAAGTGCCCAAACCAGGCGTAGTCCGTTTGCGTACAGTCTGTTTGTGTTGCTGACAGACTTCAGATCACAGCGTGAGAATACGCCTAGATCCCTTACGGAACTAGTGGGATACAGCGGGTGGCCGACCAGAGTGTACGCACGCCCGTTACTACCCCTCCCCAGGCTCGTAAACGAGCACTTAGCTTAATGAGTTTCGGACCTCTCATTTCCGATTCATTGTTGTCAAGAAATCGACGCATTCAATTTTCCAGTTTACTTCATCCAGTTACTCCAAAATCATCACTTGTACCAACATTATTAATCTTGTCGACAAGTCCACTCATCACTCACTGACAAGTTACTGCTCTTTCCAAATCCTCTATTTTATAATTTTCACCGTGTACACATGACGGCCTAAATTCCACCTTTTAAACACCAAACTGTAAGTAAGTTTGCTCTCCTCTTGATAACATTTGGCACTCCTTTTCCCTCACTATTTTCCGCGTAACTTCTTGTCACATTTAAACACAGCTACCCCTTATCTGCCAGTAGTCAGCGAATTCTCTCATTTGCTACCATGTTGTATATCAAGTTTGACACTTGCGTTTCTGCTTATGAACTGATTCCATTGTCACCAAGGCGGCTTTCATTTAGATCACGCATCTAAAACTTTTTGACATGAGTCGCAGGCACAACTGAAGGGTTGTGCAGAGTGTCCCTCCAGTCAACTGAAATGAAATGCACTACCTTCGGCTTACTTGTTTTACGTGATTTCTACCGAGGAGTATTTGGTGCTTCGAGTCTTTTCGCTGCAATTTCTGACAGCTTGACGCGGTCATGCGTGTAGCAGGATCTTTACGGGTTCTTCCACTGTACAGGTCAATTGGGAGCTATATTTGCTCGTACATGAATACAACGAGCACCGCCTAAGGAGTTAGTTTGAAATACAGCAAGGCTGCATCTAAGCTGTTCGAGTCCCCTTACTACAGTAATCTGACCGAATTCCCCATAACGCCGCAACTCCGTTAGTGATCAAGCACCGTGATCCGCTGCTGCTGGAGTTAACCTTGTCCTAAGAGTTGTGCGCGCGTCAGTGGATAGTGGGTCACAATATACCGTATATTACCGAATATATGCCGATAATCTTTGGACACTTTTTCGTTTCTGTAGAGGGGGGGGTCAGTTTATAAAAAGGCTATACGGAATTTGAAACAAGTCACACGCAATATCCACCCAGAAATTCACTGCCTTTATCTCCCCTTAGCACCACCCGCTAGTGACGGACAGTATTCCAGTTGGGGAGTTGAAGTGCCTATAACTAGACACGTTACTTTTGTGTCGAGAATTATCGGTATATTGCACATTTGACGTTCGCTACGGATGGCTGTAGCGGATCAAAAACCCTCAAACATTACGTTATGCTAAGCCATCTGGTGCCTTAAAAGTGCAACGTCATCTCACGCCCCTTACCGTGAACTTCACTCTCACCAACTGCTCTACTGTGGTTCATATGCATGGGTCTTCCCTCATGCTATATGGTCGGCTGTTTTGCATGTTTCATATGACATAACATCCGGTCAATACATTGTCCGGTGAAGTGAAAGACTTTATTCTGACGGTCTTACGCCCCAGTAACCGTGATCGTAACATTACGGTCACCACAGCTGACCTATAGTAGAGCAGGTTTCACTTGTACTCATTTAAGTGAGAGCAAGTACTGATGACGTCAAAATTGTGAAGAAACAATTTCGCTTATCTTTTGCTGTTTTTATAGGGGTCGGCTGATACATGGACTTACGACTCTGGACAAATTGATGTTGCAAAGTTATACTGTCGGTTTATCTATAGACGGGCTTATATCCGATAGGATATGGTGCTTTGACTGATTAACCAGTCACGTCGGCTTCTTGGTTGTCCTATGGCCCGAAAGCTTACGTTTTTAATCACAGGAGTTGTGTTACAGTACCTAAACAGATAAATTTGTATGTTTGCCAACAAGCGGTATATGACGTCTAGGTGGGACAGGTAACATCCACTGCTTGCTACTCTTTAGAGAGTGAAATGGTTATTCACTGCGCTTCCGGATGCCAGTTTACTCTTCCAGTGAATTCAATGATAGCAGTCCTGCTTGAAATTGACGATACACTTTCATCTCGCATATCGGGTTAGTCGAATCACTTCTTCTCTCCTAGCTCCCGTCACCATTGACATAATTTTTTTCGTCTACTTACAGGAGGAGATGTAGCACGTGAGTTTGTTCATAACCTGCCCCTGATAGCCATTTATCCTGCTCTCCTGAACTTTACTGTATAGTCATTGTAATGGCTATACGAAGCTTAGACTAATTAAATGGCGCAAGACGGGAGCAGAAAACTGTACGTTAGTGAACCTAAACTTTACGCACAGTATGGGTGAAACAAATTAAGACGTAAATTGCTACTACCGTGGTTCTATAATTCAAATTAGACAACATCGGATGAGGTTTACAAACACAGGAAGACGTACAGCAACATGATCAGACAGTACCGCGTAGCAGTTCGCTAATCGCCAGTCTATCAACCGTTATGTGTCAAGGGTATGTTAATGATGCGAATGGCAAACCTTAAATTACTGCGAATCCAGATGTACAATACGCATATGTGTAATTTTCTCTACGAGAATGTGTTAAGGGTTTGCAAGCAAAGGTATGACTTCTTCAAATAGACAATCCGGTCTGGGGGGGGGGAGGAATCAAAGTTCTTTACAGCCATTGCAGTTACCGTGCCCCCACGTTTTGCCTACCAACCCGGGCAACAACGCTGCATTTGACCGCATCGCATTATCCTGCCCTTATAATTACCGTATTACGCTGCAAATCAGGACCAATCACATGCTATCCACAAAATACTTCATTCACTCCCACTAGCATTGGCACATCTACATTGGCACCAGCCATTACGAAACAATTCTGTTAGCTGCACACAACAATAGACGCTGGTAGTCTCCTTTCTACCAATTACTCTTGACTGATGTTGCTACCTAGTACTCTCAGCAGAGCAAAGTGGCAACTTACTACGTTTTGAGTCTTCGAGACGGTGGGATAGGTTTCTTTCGAACGATATTTACGACGTCTGATTCAGCCTTCTGTTTCTTTTTACATTCTGGTGCAAAATCGTTCTTTAGCGTTCCCCAACCACGCATTTCCTCTTCTTTGTTACACTTTTTTGCCATCAACTAGGCTCATGAATAGAATTACCTCCTTGAATAGTGTTGAATTATCAGATTTCACAGTGAAGTCTATTGCGAAAACTGCACCCTACCTGTCTTGTACTTGCTTGATCCAAGCTTAGCTTTCCCGGCAGCTTTCAACCATGTTATCCGGTTATAAAGTTCTTAGACTCTTCCTGGTCGATACTTTTTAACCAAAACTTCAGCGGGCTCCCAATCGATGGTGAACTGAAATTTTACCGCACTAGTTCTCGATTTCCTATTCTTACTTCATTTGGCTGACAGCATACACAATGTCTTTGATGAGCCCAGTTTCTTTGAATGCTTCTGATATTCGGCTCCCAAGCGCTGTCTAATGCTCCATTCGTAGTTTCTTCGATCGATGCCACCAGCCCCTTCTCTCGAGTTCATGCGCACATCTGGAAAGTTGTACGAACGAAAACTCTCTAAACCAGATATCTGTAATTGCCATTTGGAAGTTCTTCGTCCTCACTCGACGGCTCAGTCAGTGTAAACGAGCGACCAGAGGTTTGTCTCTCTCGCTCCATGTTTCTCTTCGTCTACGAACTTGCACTGTCGAACTCTAACGTCTTTCACAGCCATGAGGCAGTTGATGCATTTCTTCCATAATTTGTCTTTATTCTTAGTGACCAGTGATTCGACGACTCACTGTGTTTGAACCTCATGTGTTCATTTTAGTCTGCCTAATTGTGGTTCTAATTACCTATACTGATCCACTGAAAACACACCTGTTCGCTATGTTTGTTTCCGGCGCTTTTTCCAGGAATTATTTATTTGTTTCTGTCGCTTGCTTCATACAATAGGCCACCGTCTGGGTGATTTACGGCGATGGATCGGCTGGTTTTAGTATTGCCGAGTGGGATTCCATGGCTCGACACCGCTGCCCCGCCATCGGTGTGATCGGAAATGATGCGTGTTGGTCGCAGATATCACGTGACCAGCTGAGACTGTTCCAGTCCAATGTGGCTTGTACGCTCAGCCCAATTCGTTATGATGTCATCGGGGCTGCTTATGCTGGTAGTCAGATACCCATTCTGGATTACAGTCAAGACGAACAGGCAGGTGCTTTCGTTGTGAACAGGAGCAATTTCTCTTCTATTCGTCAAGTGTTCGCGGAAGCAAAACTCCTCTCTAGTAGTGGCAAACCTTGCATCATCAATTGTTTGATAGCATCGAGCAGTTTCCGCGAGGGGAGTATTTCCATTTGATTCATTCACTATATCGCTAACTGTTGGTGCCTTCCATTGTGGTGCACGTACATACACATGTATCTGTTTGGGTTGCAGTGTGTTGTGGCTAACCGCTTGTGACTGTGGCTATCATCCGTCCAACCAGCTGTATCATTTTGCGTAATCCTATCTCACCAGATTTACTCCCATTCCGAACTCTATGTGTACCAATATTATTTGTACATACCTTTTGAAAAAGGAATTTTTCTTCCGCTGATTGTTTTTCTGCGATGCCCGACTACGGAATCCACTCAAACAGTGCACACTTGGGAGCTACTTGCATACAATCTTACGAATTTCAGTTCATCAAATCGGCCATGTCTCCAGCGCAAAAGTTGGAAACTTGCGACTATCATGTTTCATTCCGTTATAATTTTATTGACGAATCCCAACGCTGTTCACTCAGCGATGGCAATTATTGTATGAAACAGGGAAGGGAGACAGCTGACATAGTAACACTGTCTCCTTGATAGGACGCGATATCGGGCTAATTGATTAGTGCTGTCGCGCGGTCACACATTTCAGTGAAACAATCCTGTAAACCACATGTGCTGCGAAATGTACAGGAAAATTCCATAACAGCCATGCATTACCTACGCAAGATCACTGTTTCCACCTGTACACATATGGTCCATGACTCTCACACGGTGAGAAATATCGCTATTACTACAGACTTATCGCCTCGCAAACACCAGTGATCGACAGCCATTAGTCTCTTCCTTTTGTCCGCGCGAAGTCTGGTTCACGCGGTGACGATTGTTGCCCCAAAGCTGATGGGTTCTTTGCTGATCCATGCCCATTCGAATCTGCGCTATGAGATAATTTGTAGCCATTTCAGCCGGCGAGCCGTTCGACTAGTTGTGGATCTTCGGCGATAGTTGAATTAGTGACTTGTCGACTTGCTTCTAATGCCTTTTATTGTTCCTTCTCATATGATGCTTCTTGCTTGAGACTTGAACTACCGAACCGGCGCAATAGGTGATACAACGCTCAAGTGGAATTCCTTCATTAGCTGTGTAACCTGTTGCTTTACACCGTGACCTTAATCTGCCCACCACTCTTCTGATAGCTTGATTATGGAACAGTGGTGTGTGGTGGGGTAAACAAAGTAACCGCTTTACAAGTCCCGTAGGATGGTCAGAATGCGAACCACAAAGTGGTGGAAAGAACACATGGGGGCAAAATAAAAAGCGCTTTTGTGGGCTTACCGGTGTGTTCACACAGTGGCATGCAGAAAAGAGCCAACCTCGATTATGTAGATTAGTGCTGGTTACGCAACATTCGTCACATTATATCGTCTCTCGATGCACGCAAGCTATATCCTAATGTAGTCGGATCAGGGCACCGTCATGACGTTTTTAAGCATATAACCTGGGAAAGAAAACCACGTAATGCGGGAGAGCGTTCTGTGACTGGCAGACACGAAGAGAGCAATTCACTGACATTCTAGCGAACTGTGGTGCGTTGCCAGCTTGAATTGATGGTCCCTCAGATTCGCGTTGTGACTGAGTTGCAATAGTTGGCGGCTACGTGGTCGGGGTTCCTTAGAATCTGGTAAGCCATTGTTAGGTCGCCACCTAGGCGCTGATATTGACCGCTGTACAGTTTTAGATTGATGTGGAAGTTTAAACAACCCTCTGATGTGCTTGGTGGCTCTGCTGTGGGCTCTCAAACGCTGTGAGATCTTGTTTGAACCAATGTTGCCAGGTTTGAATTACGTATTCTACATGAGGCCGTAAGTGTTAAGCAGCTGCGCATAGATGGATGGATCAAAACGCTCGAATGCCTCCCGCAACATGCCAATGGGTTGGGTCCCACTCTTTGTCGTTTTTTCACCTTGTTCCGAGCAGCGCAGGTCAGCTTGGATTAAAACCCCAAGGTCCCGCTCTTGGGTGACTGCTTGCAGATCATGGTCTCCAAGCTTGTATTTGAAGTTCGGCTGATGACGAATATGAATCACCATACATTTAGACGAATTAAACTGGAGCAGATTGTGGAATGACCATTCGTACGCTCTATCCAGGTCTCGTTGAAGCGCATCGTGCTCTCCGTGGTAGGCAATCGCCCGCCACGTCTTTACATCAACAGCGAAAAGTATGAAATCTGACGCGTATGCTCGTTGATGAACACGTGAAAGACACGCAGCCCCGGAACTGATCCTGTTGGAACTCCACACTCGACATAAATCCGATCGGACAACGTGTTTTGAACGCTATCCTGCAGTTGCCTATTCTGTAGGAAATTTTTCTTCCACTTAAGAACAGGATCTCCAACTTCGTAGCTTTCGAGGCAGAATGCGGTGGTCCAGGCGGTCGAAGGCTTTAGAGTAGTCGAAGTAAATGATGTTGGTCAATTTTTAGGCCCATTCCGCCCAACTAGTGCGTGCATGAGCGGTGTTGGCGGAAACCGTGCTGCTCGGGTGCTGTGACGCGTTTTAGAGGGCCTCAACGCTGATTGACTTAATCACCGAGAGTACGGGTAAGGAGTACCGCTGGACGCTAGTTTGCCGCCTCCGAGCGACTGCCACTTTGAAGATTGGCATGATTAGGCCATGTTTCCGCACGTTAGGCACGATTTGATTATCCAAGCACGTTTGGAAGAAATGCGTTAATGGCTCTGCCAGCGTTTCCGCTGCTACGTTCAACGTTCTCGGGTGAATGTCATTTATACTGAGAGAACGGTCTATTCGCAATGCGAGCAGTTTCTTCAAAACAGATGTGGCAGTAAACGTGTTACATTACCTAATCTAGCGGTTGTAATCGCTTGTTCAAATCTGCGTAGATACCTATGACCTGACAGTAAACTCAGACTGCATGCGACTGTTGGTGGTCGCACGTCAGCGAACTATCTGTAAGAGTTACCGGCATACTGTTGATACCTATATTATCGAGCCTTCCGCTTCTCACATCATTAGCCTTAACAGTTTTTGGCGTAGTGGTCCACTACACACCGAGCACATCCGTGTCTGCGGTCACTATTGTTATATTACTGCATTTCTCGGCTTCGTAGAATTTCACTGATTCCTTGTTGCTCGGTGGTGTAAGATGATTACCATTTTTAGGGCCGGATCAATTTGTTACTGAATTGTGTGCTCAATATGACTGCGGCGGCGATCACGAAGTGCTAACGTACTTCGACTAACCGCGAACTAAATTTCGCGAAGTTACAAACGGATAACTACGAGAACGCCCGGATGGAAAAATAGATTTTTTCCTCCTCTGGTATATATTGCATCGGTTTTTCAGTGATACACGATCTTGTGATTTTATAGCCACTAAGGTATTACTGTTAAACCAGCGAATGAGGAAAGCAGATAGTTCTACTCTGTCGACAACATTCCACAAAAGGAATGCGGCGCTAGGCTGTTTGTTCCACTGAGCTCAGATTGTCTCCATTGGCTCAGTCATGTGCGCCACTGGCTGCGTCGACATGTGTTGCTCTCCGATACTACGACTATCTGAGTATACTCCCGAGATAGTCATCGGGTGACCTGATAAAGGTGCCTGAAGAAACACCGAAAAGCTTTGAGTTGGTGGTCATTGTCTTCTTTGGCAGACACCTCTTCGTCGCCCACATCAGTGTTTGGATACCCTATCAGGTGTGGCACAATCGCAAAGCCAGTGATGCTTTTGCCTTTGGTCCGTTATTTTTAGCTTATAACTACACTGGTAGTTCGATTTACTGTTCCTTTCTTTTGTGCTGTTATGATTGTCAGTATGAATATAATGTTGACACCGTGTGTTGTGATAGCTGGCTACACTGCAACTCGGTGCACGGATAATTGAGATTGAGTTGAACTGCTTCCGTGGGCTGCTTTTGGTTTCTACATTGTTTCCTAGACATTGGCGGCATCATTGACGTAGTTTACTACGGCAGTACGCTAATTCGGGCTGAGTAAAGACTCTCGGAACGCAGTAGAGGGCCACTGGTCGCAAATTCACCAGACGTTATTAACAGCAGGCATGTCTTCATGTGCCAAATCAAGTTGCCAAGCTGGACATTGGCTTTCTATGCGGTCTGGAATTTTGAATTTCATCCGATACCGAATTTATCTGTCACTGCGGCCGCTATAAAACAGCCACAGGGCGCTTACGCCTACCGAAGATCCATGGCGCGCTGCATCACTCACGGCTCCGTCCACACACTCGATATGCAGTGTAAACCCGAAGGAATGTGACCAGGAGGCAAGTGGATGGGAGCCGTGTTTCATCAACGGATCCTGCTCGCACTCGTTCGAGAAGTAAAGCTTAGTTAGGAAATTATACCTACCAGACTTACACAAGGCGGTACCTGGGCCATTGCCCGTTCCACATTGGATGCACGGAACCCCTCTTAGAGCCTGGTATGGTTACGAGGACCTTGCGTCCCGTCCCCTCCAGCAATGACCAATTGCTAGTGTGGACGAGGCGGTGGGTAGTAGACAGATAGGCACCTTGTCAACATTCACATCAAGCGCAGCCACACATGGGATATTGTTAAATATAGCTCCTAGCCGATAGACGGAACAGAACGCGCAAGCGTAGCGTGGGACCATTTAATGAAAGCTTCCTACGTTACAGCGACTAGAAATACCGAAACGAAAAGAAAATGAAATAAGGAAGGTAAGGCTTGGTCATTGTCAGCCAAACCTGTGTGCAGCTGCGTTCACGGTCAATATTCTACTGCATACGTGACACCCCTCTCTTCCCTGGTAAAAACTGCAGACTCCGGGTTCTTACCGATGACCTGGCTTAGGCGTGCGTTTTGAGCGTCTTAATTGAGGTTGTCCCGGATGCGTTTGCGGTTCCTGGGTTTGTGAGACAGATTTCCTGTCCATTTTTGCGTCAGTAGTGGTCGGTTTTTGATCCTGCTCATGCGGTTTTATTGAGCGTCGCCGGATATGGTCGAAATGGCGGCGAACTACACCGCCGTCCTTCAGCTGTAGCTCTGTTTGGTTGCTCCTTGAGGACATGAGTGTAGCAGGTTGCTTTGTGACGCAG